TACAGTGTCACACTCAGGCATTTTATGAACATACATCATGTCATTAAACCCTAATATGTATACATGTATATTTATTAGTTTATAATACTGTAGAGTTTCCATCAGTCCAACAGGTTTCATTAACTAATACTTCTGAGGTACCAATGAGCTTCATACTGAGGGCCCCTGCTCATGGCAGCAAAGGGGAAGAGTTTATCATGAACCCAAACGAAGTAGTCCTGCCACCCAGCCTACACCAGAATATTACTGTAAGTAATGTACATGTACTGTATAATCAATCATTGAATTTACCAGCACATAGTGTGCATGTGCATGTATTTGATTGCATATTACTACAATTAGATCACATTCACTCCAGCTGAAGTAAAGGAGTACACTAGGTTCTTGGTACTTGATGTAGAAGAGGCTGGAAAGAAGTTTTCTCTCTACCCATACGAGCAAAGTTAGTATCAATACATGCATTTGCATGTATGTGCCAACTGCCAAAGTTGCTTCAAATGTCATGTACTGTATTGTAATGTTTGTCAGCTCATGGAATATGCTGTTTAACTCACTTAGCATGCTTTGTGGGAAACCCTGGTTGGAGCATTTAAAACATACCAGCTATATAGTTTTGCCAACATCAATGTCCTTATGCTGTGCCTCAAGTATAAGCTTGTCGTGGTATTTTCAAAACTTTGACGAAAGACTACAGTCATAACAGTATGGCCTTTGGCTTCCATGTGATTTTTTATTAATATGTGTTCAAATGAGCCAAAAAGCATTAGCATGTGTGATTAATAGCAATACATTTAGTTGTACATGTACATCTGTTTACATTCAGAATTCGTCTCATTGAGACAGCAAGCAGAGACACTAGCAGTTGAAAAGAATAATGTAGAACAGAAAGCTGAAGGTTATCTTGTTGACTATGAGCAAGAGAACTAAGAAAACTTTGAACTTAAAGTAAGCAAAAAGTATTATAAAATTTTAAGAATCACATTTTAGTTTACCGTGTTCTTTGAATGAAGTGAAGGATCAGTTACAGCAGCAAGTCAATTATTGCTCTTCATTGGGTTGTGTTTGTGGTACAATGCTATGGAGTACATCTCAGAATGAAGACTGTATACAGAATTTACTCTCTGGAGTAAGAATACTGATATTGTGTGACCCTTATGCAGCTTTTTATTATCTCTTGATTTTCTACAATTGGTGTCAGCCACACTGCACAGCTATCTATCAACTTATAATAGTGACTTACCTAGTGAGTCCAGTCAAGAATCTCAGTTTGTCATCTTCCTTTGTGGTACTGTTACCAGTTAGTTCTGCCTAAAAGACTGTAATTATAATTTTAGATATTGCAGCATCTGCTTATGGAAGAGAATATTTGTCATCTTGTCATAAAGGACAGGAACTGTTGAAAAACATGTGCTCAGTACTGGCTACAGCTCCACTCTCTCAAGGATGGTAAACCTTAAAATAATTATTGCTATGATTATTTTTTATCATTTTTATGTCTCGCTAAATCTAATTATAGTGCTAAAATTAAGAGGTTAGTTTAAAAACATTAATTTATATTAACTTATGGCCTCTTGTATCTATAGTCTCATTCTTATGCTCCTCTATAACATCAGGTACCTAATAATTTTAACAATATTAATAAGTTTCTATACAACATAATTATTGTAGTATTAATCAAAAAGGACTAACATTATTAAGATCTGAACCTGATCTACTGAGAATATTAATGTGGCTAGCTAAAGGTAATGAAATACTTTTAATATCTTTGCATGTACATGTGTATCATAACTAGTTGCTGTTCTGGCATATGCCTTTATTCCTGGGATTACGCGAGTTTAAAATTTTATTTTTTCATAAATCTTTTCTAAATCTGCCCTAGTCAGCAT